TGAATATCCAATTTATTATGCATCATCTTTAGCAAAAAAATGTATGGCTGTATATCAGACATATATTGATGCAATGAACGATAAAATTCGTAAACAAAGTGCTGTTTCTAATCCATTTAAATTTAAACATATTGCTAGTCTTAAAGTATAGATAAGAAATATTTAAAAGTTGAATTTGTTTTGTTTTGTTTTTTTTTTGTAAAATAATTTAGACAATCGATGATTTTGATGATATTGGTCCTTGTGTTGTTTTGGCTAGTCCAGGAATGATGCAAAGTGGTTTAAGTAGAGAATTGTTTGAATGTTGGTGTACTGATAAACGTAATGGAGTTATTATTGCTGGTTATTGTGTTGAAGGAACACTTGCAAAAGTAAAATTTTTTAATAGATAAAAAAAAACCAAAAATTTCTTTGACATTATTTAGATGATTTTATCTGAACCAGAAGAAATAACAACAATGGGTGGACAAAAATTACCATTGAAATGTTCTATTGATTATATATCATTTTCTGCTCATACAGATTGTAATCAAACAACAGATTTTATTCGTGAACTTCGACCACCACATGTGGTAGGAAAGAAATTTTATAATTCAATATTTTTTTATTTCTTATTATATTTTTAATATTAGATACTTGTTCATGGGGAAAGTACTGAAATGAATCGATTACGTTCACATTTAATAAGAAAATTTGAAGATGATCCCGAATGTAAATTATTAGTTTATACACCGAAAAATACTCAATCAGTTGAACTTCGTTTTCGTGGTGAAAAAACGGCTAAAGTTGTTGGACAATTAGCAGCTGAAAAACCAGCTGAAGGAAATATTCTTAGTGGAATATTAGTACGAAGAAATTTTAAATTACATATGATGGCACCAGAAGATTTACAAAGTATTCAAATATAAAAAATATATTTAAATAATTAAATAATTATTTTTTAGATTATACAACATTAACACGATCTACTGTTACACAACATTTAGGAATTCCATTTACAGCTGCACCGAGGTAAAAAAAATATTCATTGAGGAGTAATTTTCTAGTGTCTTTTTGTGAAACACAATCTAAAATGAGTGTTGAGCTACATTGTGTTTTCCATTTTAATCCCGTAGCGATTGTGCTATTTTCTACTATTGATTTCAATAGATCTTTGGTATTAAATTTATCTCAAGTAGCTGGTGAACTTGAACAAGTTGGTGATAAACAAAAGCCGGGTATTCGAGTATTTGGTGCAATTAATATTTTTCTTGAAAATAAAATGCTTGTACTCGAAGTAAGATTTTTATTTCATATAGATTTATTATTTTTCTAGTGGATTATTTAGTGGGAATCAAGTCCTGTTAATGATGTTTATGCAGATGCTGTTGTTACAGTTATTCTTAAAACAGAATCAGGCGATTGTCCGGGAAATACAGGTCAGAATTAACAATTTTTTTTTTCTATAGTTTATTTATTTTATCGTTATTGATTTTTCGTGATATGAAAGTTTCTGAACTAGATATCATGTGAACGTTAAAAGATAATCTTTACGTACATCCATAAGAGTCCCTATCGCTAATGACTTTTGACGTTTTCATGACGATAAATTTTAAACATTCAAATAATACAATGAAATTTTTATTGAAAGTTATTATTGATGAGATATTTTCATAAGATTTATATATTTGATTTTCTTTAAAAGTAAATTCAACTCAATTTCTCTTATGTATCAGTCGATTTAACCTTCTAAACTCTGTAAAAACTAGCTATTTTTCAAGAATCTAAAACAAAAGTGAACCATTTAATAAAATCCAAAGCTCACTATTCTTGAGATCAAGTTTGTGACATTTTTTTTTTACTGATATTGAACGATTTTTGGACAGAATAATCCTCGTTTGGCTTCAAAGAAATATTATATTTAAAATCAGCACAACAAAAGATGAGTCGACTTCTGTGCGTCTCACGTTTTTCCTGGCAGTTTGTTTTTCTGTCTCAATTTTTACCCTTGGTCGTTCTCAGGGATATTTGAAAAAAATGAATTTAATCAAAAACTCATTTGAACAATCAGAAGCAACGCTGGAAATTTGTAAAATATTATTGGAAGACAACAAGACAGGTGCCTAAATAATAAAATAGATGTTTCAACTAAATTCATTGTTTTACATTTCTCTGAGGGGACCAGAAGTACAAATTTGAACAAAAAAGCAAGGCAACAGGAAAAACTTGAAACGCACATAAGTTGACTCATTTTTTTGGTACTGATTTCAAATATGATATTTCTTTTAAGTCAAATGGAAGTTATTCTGCTCGGAAACTATTGAATATCAGTAAAGAAAAGTCACAAATTCGCTCTCAAGAATAATAATGAGCTTAGGATTTTGTTAAGTGACCTATTTTTTTAGATTAGCCCAAGAATTTAAGAATACCTCTACCTTTCGACTACCTTGCGGTATTTGATGTCGTATAGCAACAGATTGCATAGCCTAATACCTTTTCTACAACTAATACTAGCTGTAGTCCTGTCCATAAGACCGGCTTGATGGAGAGTTCTTGCGCTCAATTGCTTGAGCTTTCCATACACATTAACTAATCATATACTAGTCACAAGAGCAGATGTACGTCACAACATAGGTCAGCATGCTATCGGACGAGTGATCCAAGACAAATAGTCGTTAGTGACTTGTCAAGAATCCGAAATCTTGTATACACCCGCATTATCTGTTAATTATTTAGATACACCGATTCAAGTAAATAAAAAACATGTTCGAGAATGTTTACAAGAAACATTAAGCGAAATGTATGGTTCAACAATGGTTACTTTGTCTGAAGATCAACAACAATTATGTGTTACAATTGATGATAAAAAAGCAGCAATTGATCTCGAATCATTTGTATGTTTGTTATTTTGAAAAATTTCCTTTTTTTTAAAATTTTGAATGTTCTATTTTTATTTTTTAATTTTATAGGAAGTTAAATGTGATGATGAGGAAATTCATTCAACGATTGAAATAACTGTTAAACATTTAAGTGCATGTATTCAACCATTGAAATTAACACCCGCAATAACTTAGTCTAATTTTTCATTCTTTTTGTGTTGATTTGTTATATCTGTATAATTTAAAACTAAATAAACAAAAAATTAATGAAAATATACAACGCGTATAAACAACTGATTTTTATTCTATGACTACCGAATGATAATGACAAGATATGGATGTGCGTGGGTGTGAGCCCACAGGTAGCCAAATCCACAACCTCTTATAGTTTGAATTAATGTAGTTTTAATCAGAACATTAAAACACATTGCATGAAGAATTCTGTACAGACATCATCTTTTACTACTCATCGAAGATTTGCTCTAAATAAGTCAATTTTAAGCCAAAAAGAAATTCTCAATATATATTTTTATAGAGAGCATGAAATTCTTATTCTAGCTGACAATTTTTGATTCTTTTCAATGATTTATAAACGGGCAAAAGTTGAGTAGACATGTGTTGTGCTAAGATTTTTTACGAACAGGTGAGTTGTGCTTGATCATGTTGATCGAAATGTTTTCTTGTCAATATCTGGTTGGTGATGATAGATAGAATGAGAAAAATTTGGAACAATTTTACTGACCCACTTCGATTTTTTTAGATTTTCTGTTTTCTAAGAGATTCTTAGGTGTTGAAAACGATAGAACAGAAAAGAAAACTTGGTGGTCAGCAACACACAATCTATTCTGGAACTCTTTTCTCAAATTTTTATAATACTGATATTTCCTCTGATTTTTGTTCGTGATAATTCTTTTAGATATGCCTCTAAATATTCGAACCATTCTCAACTTATGTGGAAGTGGAGAGAGAGGAGTTCCAGCATCCATACAACAACTACAAGAGTAGCAGCTGATTTCGAAGGCATCAGATTACATGTGCCCTCGATGTAACCGCCCATTGACTCTTCGTTCGGATTCTTCACAGTAAGCTATCATATTTTAGTAGGTATTGTTGGCTTTATGTATATTTAGCATTTTTTAGGATCGACGGAGTTCGCTGACGATGTTATAATCCTGTTCAGATTGGCGATGGAACATCGAAAAAGAGGAAGAGAAGACAGAGGTGTGACTATTCAGTGTCATTTCGAAAAGGCACCCTTCTTCGCCCGATCACATCTTCATATTTGGCAGATTTTGATTTTCGTGAATTTGTGGGTTGAGAATGTATCTTTAACTGTCATTTGTAAGATTTTCTATTTATTGATGGATTCACTTGATTTTGTTAATTTTACCATTTTATTTAGCTTCTCAAGCTGAAATAGATTCCATCAGAACTGCGGTACACTTGGCCTCATTCTATCGTGAAGTGATCTATGACGCAATGATGATGAACAAACAACAACTTGGTGGTCATGAAACCGTGGTGGAAATCGATGAATCTAAGTTCGGACATCGAAAATATTATCGAGGGCATCACGTGGAAGGCCAATGGGTTTATCAGCATGTTTGAGCGAGAAACAGACCGTGTGATTATGATGCCCGTTGAGAAGAGGTTTGCTATACTAGAACAACATATTAGTTAATAGCAAGACAGCTAATTATTAACATTTTAGAGATAGAGAAATACTGCTTCCAATTATTAAAGAATAGATCCTGTCTGGCACAACAATCATCTCCGACTGCTGGAAGCCATACGATGTTTTGAGTAGTGAGGGCTATGAGCATCTTCGAGTCAACCATTCCGTCATATTCAAGGATTCCGACACAGGTGCTTGCACCAATTCCATCGAAAGCTCACGCAGACACCCAAAGGTCGTCATGCCTCAGTACCATCGCAAGAAAGAGTTCTTCGCATCTCATTTGGCAAAATACATGTTCATGAAGCAATGCTATATACAAGATCTGAATCCGACCGTAGAGCTCCTTCGATTAGCTGGCAGAGTCTACAATTCGCTGAAGAAGAAAGAAGAAGACAAAGAGCAACTCAACGATATTGATATTGAAAATGAAGAAGCGGAGGATAACAATTTTAATTGATTGAGATTTATGATTGTTCATTTATTTCAATAAAATGGTTATTTACTGATGTCCTGAAATCGGACATATTATTTAATCCAAATTGTTTGAGATTTTTTGCTTCAGAGGTTAATGCTACTGCAAGTTTACATTCTTCATTTGATAATTTGTCAACAGTAAGAGATTTATCTTGAATTAAATGATCAATGAATTGTCGATATTGTTGAGAACGTAAAACAATTCGTTGAATATATTGATCAATAAAAAAAATTCGATGAATATTATTAATTAATTGATTAACTCGTTCGAATCGAGTTGATTTTTGTTTTAAATAAAATGATATGATTGAAGAATGTATATTGCTTTTAAATGATGATTGAAGTTTTGTTGATGAACAAAGAGATTTAGTAAAAAACGAATTAATAAATGAATCAATTTGTGGTAAACGCCAAGCTTTGACAATGGGTGAATTTAATGAATTATTTAATTCATCTAATATTGATTTTGAAACTAATTTTGGATATAGATCTGATATAAGAATATATGCAAATATAAGACGTGTTTCAGGATAAGATTCACCTATGGATGATGTATGAATAGTAAGACTATTACTCTTTCCATAACATCTAAATTAAATGAATATATTCTTTTCGATAATATCAAATAAAATTCGATTATTTCCTCACATTTCAAGTTTCTATCAGATATATTCAATCTTATGATATTTTTCAAATTTTTCAATTCTATTCTTTCTCCTTGATTTAAATAATGATTTGTGTTCATTAAATGACATTTAACAAAAAAAAAAAACTAAATTTTCCTTTTTGAAAATCAAAAGAAAGTTTTCGTGTTTTTTTTAATATGGTTATTAGTTAATTAGAAAATAGCGAGAGATAAAACATGCATTGTAATTATATAGAATTCAATGGGAAGAAAACTAACCACTAGTTTAATAGTTAAACTGATCGACTATCTTATCGTCGACATTGAATCTCTCAATAATTGAAATGATATCTTATGTGATAGATTTATATTGAGTTGAATATATTGGATATATTCATCTTACTGTTTGATTATATTCGTAGCAAATCGTTGAATGATTTCTCTTTGTTGTTTATTTGGATGCTGTTCAGCCGATTGAAGTAAATATATTCCATAAGAAATAATAATTTGTAAAGTATTTGTTGATTGTTGTAAATGGTAAATAACAATATCAATAATAGATATAATTGAATGAATATTATATGGTAAAATTTCTAAAGTAAATCTTATATTAGATGAAGATAATTGACTTAAGAAATATTCAATAACAATAATTTGTTCATTAGTAAATCTATTTTCAATCCATTGAAGAACATATTTAACATATTGTTCATTTGTTGATAAAGCACATTGAAAAAAAAAATGAGTAATTTAGTTGACGTTGATTAACATCTGAACCTGTTTTTTTAAATAAAGATAAAAAAAGATGAAAAATCTTTTCTGTCATTAATTGATAACGAAAGAATGATAAATGTTGTTTAGCTTGAATTATTCCATGACGTTCATATTGGGATATTAAATGAAGAGAAAGTGATGTTGTTAATTGAGAATACATTTCAAATAATCGACGACTATCTTCATTTCCTTCTTTTAGGAGTTTTTCTATAAACAATTCTTTTCCAATATCTTTTGAAATAGCCAAATCAATTAACCATTTTTCTTCTTTATTTAATGAAAAAAGATTTTGATGTTGATGTCGATTTTCTAATAAATATTTAAAAGTACGAATTGTATTATTTGATGACCATTTACATCTATCATATAAAGCAAGAAATAAACGAAGATAATTTTCGATAGAAAATGAACGAGATAATGAAAATGAGCCAATATCATATCCTTCACTTATCCAACGTGTTACATATTTAATTTGACCTAAATAAATAATTTAACCACTTGACTGTTAACGATGAGTATACTCGTCAAAGCAATCTTTATGGAAACGATGAAAACTATGATTCCTTAACTCTATTTTCTTTGTATGCTATGTGTCGACTCTAACATCTTGCACCTACTGGAGCTCATTCTACCGATTCTAATGTTTTATATCGATTATTCGATTACGCTTCTGTGTATCAAAAGTTGTTTTCACAAAAAAGTTTACTAGATAGTTTTGCAAAACTTAACAGTCAAGTGGCTAGAATATCATTTTAGAATAAAGAAAGTGATTGGATAAAATGGTAAGATGCTGAATATTTATTGAACACAAAAAACTAATTGTAATGCTTTTTAAGTCATTTGATCAAATGTTCCATCGTATAATCAACTTTACTATTGATTCAGATTCCAAAGAAATATGATTGATTATTTATAGAACAAATTAGAAATTTTTGGTGTCTTCAAACAGCAAATTGAGTCAAAAGATTCTCTTACTGAACTTGAGATTCTTTAGGTAAAATACAATCTATGGCATTAATTTACAGAATGTTCAATTCATTTCTATTGAGATATAATTTCAATATGTAAATAAATAAGATTCTGCTCTTCCATTCAGATTATCCTCTAACAATACTTATCAGATAGAGAATTCTTTTAAACAATTACGAAATGGAAAGATAATCTTAAAATTTTTTTGAACACTATATCGAAGTCAAGTTGATAAATTTTGTTAATTTACTGAACTTGATTCATTTAGTTTTAAACAAGCAAAATTTGAGTCGATTCAATTTTCTTCTATTGAGAAATAGACAATTAAATTAGAAAAAAGAAATAGTTTTGAGTTTGGAATTGAGGACGAAAGTCTTGATATTTGAGTTTGAATTTGAGGCATAGATTTGCTTTGGAATCAAATCTACATAAATAGTTTCCAATTTGATAAGCTTTATGGAATTTCGAATTATTAATCTTATTTTTACCCAGAAGCAAACCCAAACACAAATAGGAAGGTTTTTGTTTCAAATCCAAAAATCTTTTTCTGCATATACCAAGTTATAGTAGAACATTTTTAATGATGCTTTATCTTATAAAATCATAGCAAATCCAAACCAGAAAATATCAAATCTCAAGATTTGGATTTGTTGCACTCCTAACTTAAACAACAAAAGAAAAATGATCAAAGTTTATTATGTATTAAATTTATCAATATCTAAAAAATATTTTCATGGCTTCTCGATGAAATAAATTAAATGTTTACTTACTTCTTTTCTTTGATTCTAGTAAAAATTTTAGAAAAAAAAAAGAATTGAAGGTTTTCAAATGAAAATAATCAATAATCAATACAAATTAGATTGTAAGTGCTATTCGATATGAATCATGATACTAATCAACTTTGAATGAAACTTATACTCTGGATATTAAGTAGAATTTAAGTAGTTACAATGCTTCTAGAATTATTTTATTTGAAAACAATCGACTTATATTTCTCATGTTTTATATATATATATGCTTATTTTAAATTAAATATTGTAATTTTTGTGATCTTTAATAAATAATCGACTTTCACTTTGTATGTTGTGATGCATTTATCGCTTGTCTTGCATACTAATTCTGATCTTGCTGAACTTTTCAACTATTTTTCGATGGTGATGTATAATTTATGAAATTAACATCTATTGAATTATTAAATTGCGAATTTCTATTTTTCCAAAAAAAATAAAGATCTGTTTGCTCTTGATGCTGGTGGTCTCGACATAGTTATGAATACTTTTGTTTAAGGTAACGCTACCCTTAAAAAAAAGTCAATTCTCATCAAAACAAAAGATAAAAAACTGAGATAGATGCAGGGTTAGATAGTCCAAGATTTAATCTTTCATACACGACATGATTTATTATTTGGCATCGCGTTTTTTCTAAAAATTTTAAATGACTTCCATCATTTTCTGCTTGAAAGATGTTCTTTTTAAAGAAAGAGCAGGAAATCCGTTGTTACTTTTTCTTTGTTTATGTGTTTTTTCTGATCGTACAACTTACACTTCTGTGTGGGTGTTAATTCTATATATCATATTTTTCTTACTGTTTCAAAGAGTATGTCAACATGCACGACATGATAGTTTCACTATTATATAACAGAATACTTTTATTATTAGAACTTCATTTCTTTTGCGTTTTACATGACTATGAACTTTCAATCCATTTTCGCTGCTTAAAAAGTAAGAATTTGAAAAAGAGAGTGGACTATGTCATATCCTGCATTCACACATACTCTTTCAAACAAAAACTAGTAAGTAACGTGCCAAAAATTCAACATTTCAGTAAGTTTTTGTTTTCGATTTATTTAGTATCATTGGATAGAACACTTCAAGCTACCTATGAAAAACTACTTTTTCAATGTTTTGGAAACTAGTTTTCCTGGAAATATTGGAGAAAAAGACTAAATTCTAAATATCATAATTAGAGTCGTCCATTATCACAGATATCTAAATATGCTTTTTTCACTTTGTAAAATATTATAAAGATTATTTCTTGATTCTGTAGATGAAATGGACCAAAAGAAAATCTTCTGTGTACAAATTTGTTTTTGGTCGATTTCGTCTATAGAATCAGGAAATAACTTCTATAATATTCTACAAAGTGAAAAAAAAATGAAATTTTTACATATCTATGATAACGGACAATGATAATTAATGATATTGAGAATTTAGTATTCTTTTCCCAATATTTCCGGAAACAACTTGTCTCCAAAAATTGGAAAAGTAGTTGTTCATGGGTAGTTCGACGTGCTTTACCCAACAACACTAAATAAATCGAAAATAAAATTTACTAAAATTGTGAATCTCGAGCACCATATATAGAATGAAGGCCTTTAGACAATTTTGAGTAGTCAAATGAGTTATATTGTACTCTTGTTTGTTCAATACCTCTCGAAAAAGTCATGACATAGGACTGAAAATTGTACCATATCGTATCCTCTGCTACTTCCACATGTTCTGAATATCTCATGTGGTTTGAATGTACTGGGTCCAAGATCGATTTTTAAGTGGAAGGATGACCTTAAGAGAAGAGAAGTTTTCAATTATTGCCTTAACATGCTTTGGAGTAAATTTTAAAAAAATAACTTGTTTATTATTGCTTGTTTAAAAAAATAATGGTCACAGGTATTTATGCAGTAACTCGAGAACGGAAAGTACTACAGAGCTGCGGTTTTCACCAGTCGAAAGAGGAAACATCTAGACGTCTTTGTCTCTAATATTATAGAAAACAAATTTATTTTAAAATCAATCATTTCTGCAAAACGTTGCAAAAGAATATATGAAAACAGTCTGTTATTCAGATGAAATTTTCATATTAATACGTGATTTAGATAGATGAACTTCAGATCCATAGTTTAAGATATAACTTAAATGATTATCTTTACACATCCTAATGTTAAGCCAATAAATTGTCTATTTAGTCTTTCGAAAAATATGAATTTCTTTTAATTTTTAAGCAAATTTTCTTACTTTTTATCAAAATTTGATCTGAATGATAAATTATTTTTATATATGTTTTCGATGTTTTGTAAAAATGGTTGATTTTAAAATGATTTCGTCTTATATAATATTGGAAAAAAGACGCCTCGAGATCTCCTCTTTTGACTGGTGAAAACCGCAGCTCTATAGCTCTTCCCAGTCTTTAGTTATTGCATAAATACTCACGGCCATTGTGTTTTTTTAAACAGGTAATAGTCAGACTTTTCCTATCTAAATGGTGTAACTTGTACGATTGAAGAGTGCCAGTAGAATCCTCCACAAGCAGAACTTAAGAATTCTGCCTTATGCATACCTACTTTTAGATACCAAAAAGAAATCTGCTTAGAATTCTATTTTTCTAGTAGAATTGACGCACAATTCTGATTCACTATCAGAATTTTGACAGACCCTACATACATATTGATGTATCTAAATGAAAATTCTGCTAAGAATTCTGTTTTTACAGCAGAATCAAACCAGAATTCTGAGTCACTAACAGAATTATACCTGAAGGCTTATACTTACTTTTAAATACTGAACATAATTCTGCTTAGAATTCTGTTTTTTCAGTAGAACTCAAGCAAAATTCTGAAACTGTATCAGAACTTTTTAAGATCCTACACACTTCTTCTTGCATACAAATCAAAACTCTGCTGACGAGGGAACATTCTCAACTGTCACATCGCTTTTGAGTCGAGTGTATGCGCATTCTGCAGGTCCTAATGATCTGTGAATACTCTGAAAAAAGTTCGTGCCGCTAGCTTATTACTGCCGAGATATTGCATTTTTACTGTATGTTTAAGAAAAAAAGCTGTGGTTCCCCTGAGGAACATTAGAAAAACTAAGTTTAGAATTTCGACTTGAAACTTTCCACAGAGATAAGCCTTAGTGAGAATAGTTTATTGTGAAAGTTTCAGATCTTTTCGTTGTTCCTACCCTAAGATACAGCTATGGTAAAATAGCTTATACACACCAGCAGATTCTGATGTTCTTATTTCAGAGTAGGAGCAATCAAAAGATCTTAAACTTTCACAATAAACTATTCTCATTGAGACCTGTTTCTGTACAAAGTTTCAAGTTGAAATTCGAAACTCAATTTTCCTAGTGTTCCTGAGAGGGACCACGGCTTTTTACTTATACATACAGTAAAAATGCAATATCTCGGCAGTAATAAGCTAGCGGCACGAACTTTTTTCAGAGTATTCATAGATCATTTTGGTCTATATGATGCGCATACACTCGACTCAAAAGCGATGTGACATTTGAGAATGTTCCCTAGTCAGTATTTTATTTTTCCAGCACAATTCAAGCAAAATTCTGATTTTCTAGCATAATTGTGCTCCAATAGATACTCTTACCTTGTGACACTAAACATAATTCTGCTTAGAATTCTGTTTTTATTCTGAAATATAAACCACAAAGAAAATAATTGATATCTATTTTTGAATTTAAACTACTAATACCCATTTCAAAAAAGAAAAAGGGTGAGTACTTTTTGAATAACTTTTGATAGAAACCAGATAGAGACGTTCAGTTTTGAACGTTTAAAAGAGGAGATGAAACTGCATTGAATAGTCTATATCAGATTTTTCTGACAAGTTTTCTTCGAGTGTAGTATCAAGTTTATTAAACACAAAAAATTATTTAATGTAAAAGTTTTACGATCTCAATTTTCAGAAATGCACTAGAATCATTAGCTGAAGATCTATAAATTCCTCTAAGTCCTATGTTGTAAGCTTTAACCAATCATGAGTTATATATATTTTGCTGCATGTTATGGACAGATTCTCATAGAAAATTGACCGTTTTTCTCATTATTCAACTAAAAAAAATCAACCTTATAAACCTATTCAAGAACTTGGATTTTTTCAAAAAAATTCGTGAGATTCTGAGAAAACTGGTCAGAAAAATCTGACATAAACTATTCGATGCAGTTTCATCTCCTCTTTTAAACTGTGAAAACCGAACCTCTCTATCTAGTTTCTATGAAAAGGTATTCGAAAAATACTCACCCTTTTTCGTTTTTGAAATAGCTATTAATAATTTAATTTACGCATAAATGAAATTGAACTTAAATATAAATTATCACACTTTAGATTTACTTTTAAATATAAATTACAGAAAGAATAATTGATGTCTATTTTTGAATTTGAGTGCTGAAAGTTTGATTTACGCATAAATGAATTGAAAGTAAATGTAAATTACAGAAAAATAATTGATATCTATTTTTGAATTTAAATAGTGATAATTTGATTTACGCATAAATGAAATTGAACGTAGATATAAATTAATGCCATTAAGATTATCAAAAAAATATTGTATTCAAAAATAAATACTGGGTGACCCAAAAGTCACACACCCAACAAAAAAATTGAATATCTCCATTAAGGCTTGAGCAAACGAGCTGATTTTTTTGTCAATGATAGAGGTATGTTCAAGGTTTATATCGATAAAGACAAGCCTAGAGAGACCATTCGTTAAATATTACCAGTAATCTCAACAAAAAAATTTTACTTTTTTATAGATAAGAAAAAAAACCAATTGACTTGACAAAGGATCTTTCTAGGTATGTCTTTATGAATATAAAGCTTGAACATGCCTCTATCATTGATAAAAAAATCAGCTGGTTTGCTCGAACCGTAATCGAGACATTCAATTTTTACTCGGTAAAGTGACTTTTGTACCGACTTGTACATTGTTTTTTTCCTATCTGTAGAAAAGTAAAATTTTTTTGTTGCGATTACTGGTGATACTTAACGAACGGTCTCTCTAGGCTTATCTTTATAGATATAAACCTTGAACATACCTTTATTATTGACAAAAAATCAGCTTGTTTACTTAAGCCTTAATGGAGATATTCAATTTTTTTGTTGGGTGCATCACTTTTGGGCCACCCTGTATAACTCTTTATTTTTTATGTTAAAATAAATATGAATTATAGTAGCAAGGGTAAGTGGTAGGATCTTGCAAAGTTCTATTAGTAGTTCAGAATTCTGATGGAAAAACAGAATCTTCAGCGGAATTCTTTTTATTTAAATCTACATATGAGAGGTTCCATAAGTGCGCATATACAAAGCAGAATTCTTAAATTCTGCTTGTGTAGAACTCTGTCACTGGTGAGGTTTAATTGTTTAGAACACATTTAAATAGTGGAAAACCAAAAAAGTGTCAAGAAAGCTTTTTTAGATCCTAGGGAAAAAACAATGTTTTCATCATAAATTCTTTGTATTAAGGCCTACCGACTTCGGGTTGCAGCTTTCGATCAAGGTTTATCGAGCTCTATTTATAGTCAAAATAGCAAACAAAAGGATTGGAGCTTCTGTACCTTTTTACATGGCAGCGGGACTTCTTTCGACTACTGTATGTAGTCCTTCGCGAGTATCCTTTTGATTTTCCTGATACATGTATAAAAAGTTGTCATTTTATGTCGCAATAGACTTGAGAACAGCAACTCAGAAAATACTTGCTGAAACACTACGGGAAAATATGTAGGTAAAACTGATGCCGTTGTTTGTTTTGAACCTTCCCGTGAGTATTCCGTTTCCTTATGAATAAAACTCGAAAACAACACACTTTTAAAGACTTAGAATGTCCTTAAGTTTCACGATAATTAAAACGATAAGAGCAACAAAAACTAACCGTTACTCTCTTTGCTTATAGCTAAGACAGGTGTGAATATAGCTGATAATAAATAATGAATCAGAAAGAAAATCAAATTATTGATCGACAATATTCACTAGAAACATGTTGATATCTGTTAATAGAATTCTCTTAATAATGAATTTCAGAAAGGATACTTTTCACTTTCATTTTGACTTTGATCAGTTGGTTAAGGGAAACATAACTTTTCCAATTCAAAACAACGAAAAAGCCCTGATTCTAATAAAGCGTAAAAATCTTTCGGACAAAAACGTTTCGTAACTAATAATATAAAAGAATTTTCATTTTTTATGATATATCGATTTTTTCGACCATCGACATTTGTAGCTTCGTATCGTGTTTTGCAATCGACTGAAATCCGAATACGATCTAGTTTACTTATTGTTCGAAATCATTGATGACAGCTTCTAAAAAAAATTTATTTTAACATGATTTAATGAATTACTTTTTATTTTTTGTAATTAATAAAATTAAGTGGACAGGGAACTACTAATATATGATAAATGCTTGTCAAGATTAAAGCTACTAAGCGTCACGACATTATGTTAAGTGATGGGAGTTTTCTTGTATATTTTTTTTCAACATAATCTTCAATGAATGTAGATGCCTATTATACAGCTTGCCCAGCTAACGACAGTCCAATGTGATCAAAGTTGAGTGGAAGATTTCATGAACATAAGACCACCGAACTTATTCATTCAAAAATGTTTTAGAGGTTCTCATATATTCCCTATTGATAGATTTCATTTGTTTTCGATAATGACGAAAAGAAATAGTGATCACCAGCCAAAAATCAAGCATCTTTTATGCAAAAACGATGAAAAAAGGACCTTATTGTCTGTTATCATATTTCAAACACTACTTTATCATTTAAAAAAATAGAAATAATAGTGGTATTATCGAAGAGTGAGCTACAATTTGACATCAATGAATCAACTTCTATTGTTGTCAAAACTATAAAAAAATGTGCTTTTTTAAGGAGCTCAAAAAACATTGATGAGTGCGTTACTGTAATGTTTTGGTGATAATTCTTTGTAAGAATAAGCTTCCAAAAAACACATTTCACCATCATCAGGTCTGTTGTCTTAGCTTCAAACACAGATAAAAGCATTTTGTTCAGAGCGAGAAAAGTTTTAGAAATGTGAACTTTTTTGAGTGGCTCTGATCGAAAGAATCCTTTTGAATGAGTGTGTTACCACGACTTTCTATCCTTCTAGAATCGTCGCAGTTTGACCAAACGAAATGAAAATTTTAGTGAACCTAGAACTTTCATATATCTTGCTGTAGTGTAAGTTTAAGCTCTTTGCCACCTATAGTAATCGAGTTATAATAATCACAAGGTTAAAATGGGTGAGTGCATTACCTGTGGACAGGCTGTATAGTAGAGTTAGATTACTTCTCGTTCAGGAAGTATCACAACCATCTCAAAATTTTCTCTCTACCTGCAATATTAGACATTCTAAATAAAGTTGACTCTTCTGCACCACAGAATGTGCATTAAGCATAATCAATTATTCACAAGCCGACGCAGGAATGGTATGAGGATTTTTTTGTTTAAAATACAAAAAAGAATTTTTTTTGCATTTCATATTGAGATTGTTGCCAAATTGATATTGAAAGTTTTTTATTAAGAACTTTTTATTTTCTTAAACTATAGAAAAAGAAGAGTTTTCGCCGTTATTTTTGATTATAGTTCATTGTAGCATCTAAATCTCAGACATTTTTCAAATTAAATGAACAATAATAATAGAAATACAAAACAAGAAAACATGAGAATTTAACTATCAATAAATGTCTTCATCATTTATTTTTTATTCATAGAAAAAAGAATACATAAAGCATAAAAAATGCTCGTATCATTGCAAACAAATCCGTTATTAGCAGCAATTACAAGAATATTAATATATTATGGTTATTCATTTATGTTAATTTTTGGTAATATTGGTAATGCTCTCAATGTAGTACTTTTTATTCGAAAAAAATTACGGACAACATCCTGCAATAATTGTAAGTAATAGTATCATCTTTCAAAAAAAAAAATGAAATAATTGTTTTTCTACTTGTTTTTAGATTTTTTAGTCTCAGCATTTTCTAATTTGATTGCACTGAATGTCACCATTATACCACTACTCTTTATGGAAGCTCAACATTTCGAAGAAACAGTGCTGTTGTGCAAAATACAAGGTTATATAATGAATGCTGCCCTTCAAATATCTCGTTATTTAATTCTCACGGCATCATTTGATCGGTTTGCTCTCTGTTCAACAAATGCTTATCTTCGAAAATTTTCTAATGTACGTATTGCTCGTCGATATATGATTCCTTCTATTATTATTATTTGGCTTATTATTCCTCTTCATATACCAGTTTGGATAAACTTTGAAAACAATATTTGTGGATTTATCGGAATAGCAGCACAGTATGAAATTATTTATAGTATTGTTATGATTGGTATATTACCACCTGGTTTAATGCTTCTGTTTTCTTTATTAATATTTCGTAATCTTAAATTACGACAACAACGTCGACAAATTCATCCATTTATTATTGGTAATTCAATTCAACCGATAAATAGAAATCGAGATGCACGAATAAAAGATCAACATGTTTTAGCAATGTTACTTGTACAAGTTTTTGCTTATATTATTTCAAGTACTCCATATACAATATCTATGTTATATGTTGTTTTAACTACAAGTAATCATAACAATCCATCAAATGAACAAGAATCAACTATGATATTCATCATATATGTTACTAATATGCTTCGTTTTATTTGTCCATTTATGTCATTTTATTTATTTTTATCTGCTTCAAAATTATATCGACGAGAAATGATATTAATAATATTAAGTGTCTACCATCGATGTATTTTATTATGGAAAAAACCTGAGAACGATCTTCATCATCATCATCATCATCATCATCATGCTAGAACTTTGACGCGACACACTGGCCCAATTAGACAAATTAACCATCGGCAACAGAAAAACCAAGCATTCAGTAACAGTTAATAGAGTAGTCAAATCATTGTTGAATAAAAAAACTTAATCATTGAATGTATCGTACTGTATAAAAATTAATTTTTTTATTGTCTGACATCGTTGTATTTATTATACGAACTTTGTTATTCTAGTGAACAAAAAAAACTAGCGCTTTGACATTGTCTTGTAATGAAATAATTGTAGATTTATTGCTTTATCAAATTTGAATGCATATTTCGAATATGTGAAGAAATTTTAATCAAAGCAAATAGTTTTCATTATTCAAAACATTAATGGTAATGTCTGAAAACAATCAATAATAAAATGATGCTAGTATTTTCTGATATATGATTTTTAAACAAATTTCTAATTGCAATACATATAGATGTTTATTGTACTTATCGAAGCATTAATAAGTTTTGACAGCAGAATTACTACTGTTATTACTCAAATGCACATATCACGACTAGATTTTAATTAATGAAATTCACTTTGATGAAAAGAACTCCTATCTTTTATAGAGAGATGTGACGCACGTCTGCCATTTTTGTATATGATAAAAGAAAGAAAAATTTTGTTTCCATAAACTGCATTAATATTCTTATACATCTGCAATAAGATGAATTTTGTATTTTTAGTTTTTTTTACATCTTTGATCTTCTAGTATAAAGCAGAAAGAAAGAGAGATTCACAATGTAGATTAATAAAGATAGTATTTTTAGAACATCTTGAACAAAAAAAGCATAAAATATCTTGTCAATAATTGAAGAGTAAAAATACTCCAACAAGACACAATTCTATATTTGTTATTTTTGAGTACTTTTTCTCATTTGAAATAGTTATTGTATTGTACGAAATCATAGTTTATAATAAATGAAAATGAGGTTGCAACAACAAATATAACTAAAAAATTCAAACCAATCTGTTCAATCAAATTTTCAACAGAATATTACATCAGTTCGGGAACTATTTAATCTTTTGAGATATACTTTTCTCGTAATATAACATAATTGATATAGTACTTTGCGTTCGCATTTTCTTGTTCAGGAAGCCATTGAACGTTGAAATAATGCATGAATTTGTTGTTCGTGAATATAAGAATAAATGCAATAGATTGTAAATTTTATTCTTTATATTGAATATTTGGTCATAAAATGAAAATATCATCAGATCTTGTAGCATATATCTTTCGATTTCATGTTCTTCTTATATTATTTTGTTATCAACAATTCTTGTATTTATACAAACTCTTATATTACTATATTCATTAGATGTATAGATAAGTCAAAGAAAAACATTTTCGAAAAATCTTCTCTCTTCTTGATGGTTAAAGTTTATTCTTTTTTTTGTTCTACAAAAAAACATAATTGCATATCGAAAATGTCGATAGATTTCCAAGTTTATTCGACAAAGTAAAATTGCAATCATTACATATTCTAAAAATTCACTCTTATTCTTAGAATTTATATCATACAACTGTTTTCAATGATGATTCTTTAGTTAAATACTAAAAAATCCTTTTTAAATTTAGTATATTCTAATTGTAAGTATACAAGTAATGATTTAATAGTTAGTAAAATATATATCTTTTTATTGTGTGATGAAATTCATATAAATATATTTTTTCCGTGAAATATAGTATAGAACAAAATTGAATAATTCCGAGAGTAATTAAAATAAAAGTTAATTCTTTTCTTAGAAAAAAAACTGATAATTGCAGCATTAATATAATTTATATAACAATCCATTCATCATTTTCTAGTCAGATTAGCAAGAACATTTGTTTAGAAAATTAAAAAAAGACTTAAATAAGATTTGATGAGGAAATATTCGCAAAAATGTCAGACGCTATTACATTATGTTACTGACTTCAAGCGATACTTTTATTTTTTAAAACAAGTTATATTTGATCTGTAAATTTTGTATGAGACATATTATTCCAGGAAAAATCTGAAAAAGAAGTTCTTCTATATAATACTAAACAGAAAAAAGTGTTTAATTTACTGGGAAGGATAGAAAATGTGTTTTACAGAAATATTAGAATCACAGCAGTTCGATGTTAGTGAAAATTTTAGCTTTGAAATTGTTAGAAGTCGAAAGCATTCAAAAGGCAAGATAATAGAAAATTTCACACACTATTAGAATCTATAATTACTTTTGCACACAGTGATCCTTATATTAGGTAATAATAATTTTCAAAAACCACTAGAAAAGTAGAAAAAAATTCGGATGTTTGGCACTAGCTAATTCAGAGAGTACTTATTGTGCACAATTTATGTTTCAACACATAAAAGTAAGACAACAGATAAATATATGAAATCATAGCGAATTTTAAGTTCTATCGAAAACCTGTATTTCTATAATGATGAAAAATTTTAGAATGAAACTTGTGGAGACAGTGACAAAACTCAGTTCGTAGCAATCTGATGATGAAGGTGCTTTCATTGTATTTGATATATTTTCTAGCATCTAAATGCAAACTAAAAAATACATATACATAATGATAGAAAACTCGAAGGATCTTCAACATATGTAATGATGTTTTTTTAAAATGTTTTCTTAGTAATGATATAGTAAAATACGATAACTCTTTTCATTATTGAATGAGATAAAAAAACAGGTAACTGAACTTTTGATCATTGATTTTTGAGAGAGCAAAGTAAGATATTAACGGAAGTATAAGAGTCTATATATATGAACAAATATATATTCGACTATTTGAAACTCAATGCAGTTAAGATTATACATGTTAAATTTTTTTTCTCTCTCTTTCTAAGAAAAATGTTTAACACTGATTGTGGATTACTTTTCAGAGATTGGCAAGTTATTTTGACTTGAATCATGTCAAGTCAAAAATGGCTTTACTTGATCCAGATTTTCTTTTGATTAGATGATGATTTGATTTGACTTTCAGGCTTCACAGCGGTAGTCATTTCCTGATTTTTTTAGAAATATCCTGATTTTTCTGTTTTTGACTGATGATTCTAAGTTTTTTCGGATATTTCATAATTTATCCCTGTGAGACTATATCTATACGATTATGACGCATGTTTTTTGTTATAACCAGTTTATGTGTCAAAATTTATATAAAAATGTTTGTTGAGTATGTTCAACAAAAAAAAGAAAGATAATTTTCAAATAATTGAGTTTTTAAAGCAGTTAGCTTAGTATTAGTAGATAGAGATGCACATCGTGCCTAAAAACAAAGCGGAGCGGAGCAGTTGCGTCTAAGGATAACTGGAGAAATTATTTTTCGCTAATTTTTTTTTTCATATTTTGTTGCCATACAATATTTCTTGGAAATAGTATTTTATTTTCGAGCATTTACATATGAACAATAATATAGAGTTGAAAATACCGCAATAGAATTTTTTAAGCAAGATATAATCAAACATATAACGAGTGATGCATAAAGAATGAATCATTTTTATTCTGCTTTTTTGAAGACTATAGAAAGTTTCTAGCAAAATCATTCGTAAACATAAAAGATAGCAAATTTTCGGCTCTAGAAGAATATAAAGTCAGTTGATCAAAAAAAAAGTGTGTCTTCATATGCAAACAAACTAAATGGAAAGATATATAAAAATTAGTACTGTTCCTGTAAACAATCAAACTGATTGTAATCATTCAGTTTAAAGACGTTTCATGGCCGTTTTATCAATAGCAACCATGTATTGGTGGTTGAAATTGTTCTACAAAATTGACTCTATCGTTCAAAGTGAATTATTAAGTTGAAAAAATTGAATTCATAGAAAATATTTGACTTACATGAATAACATTTCTGATAAAGTAAGAAAACGAATTCATGTCATCAACTGACGAAATGATTTTTTAGTTTCGAAAGAAAATATGTAGTCTATGTTAAACATAATATTAAATGAAGATATATGCCTGAAGAACTTTATCAGAGCTTACATTAAACAAAAAATGAAAAGATTTTTACTTCGTAGATCACCCTAGACCACATTAAAAATAGATATCAATGGAAATTTTAATTTCTGGTAAATTCTTTTTCTAATTGATGAAGTTCAAAACAAATAAAAATTCTCAATTCGTACTATTTATTGTAGAATGCAAATTGTGTTCACAAATACATTCGACTAGAAAAAGATTTTAATTAAACAAATGTGATCGAGATGAAAAAAATTCGAAAAAGATATCACAGAATACAGAATTGATTTTTGTATCATTTTTGGTTTCATTTTCATTTACATATGAAAAACAATGTTTTTTTTTTCGGTCAACAAACTTACATTCTTGTAGAGCAGAAAATTTTCTATCTTTTTTTGTTTAGGAATGATTTTGCCAGAAACTTTCTAAGATCCTCAAAAAGACAGAACAAATGTGGATCATTCTTTATGGGTCACCCGTTGTATATATAATTATAGGGTACACGTTTCTATTGTAACTTATTTCGTAGTTAAATTTGTATAAGTTCAAGTTGAAAGTGAATATAAATATTATGCTCGTCACAATTAAATTGACTGAATTCTAATTTGAATCGATATGTTCTGAGAATAATACTTAATCAACATTTGATTAAGATTTTATTTATAACAAATGAGTATCAAAACGCGATAATAAAACTGACGCTATATCATAATGAATGAGTCTGTCAATGATTAAATTGCTTCTCTCAGCTTTTCAGCGTTTGATGTACATTCTTTGTTAAAAAATCCATAATAGCAGAGTTTAACAGCTCGTGTAATTTGAGCGCGGCTACTCCACCCTCCGCATGGAGGTACACATCTCTGATCTCAGCAATCTACATTTTAATTTTAACTACCATGATTACGTCATCCACTTGTATACAGATTTGATGGTGAAAAGTAGTATCAGAATAAATTTTACATTTCCTGATTTTTCGTAAAAACTTTTCTACCTATTATCCAGCTTTTGCGACATACGTTGCTGTGGTCTCTGAATTTGATTCAAGTCACGAATGGCTTCCCAAGTGGAAAAAACTTATATCATTCTTACTACAAAATGTTCCCAAAGTCTAGTGATGGTCTGAGTCTTGTAAGGTCTCA